TCCACCCCTGGCTTTCCAGGCAAGACAGAGGATTTCCCAGCAGTCGGAGCAAGTGAGCAAGGGAAGTTACTGTATCTGTTAATGAGGGCTCAGAGGCAACAGTTCTCTCTTTTGCCCAACAATTAGAAGTGCATTAAAAGGTCTTTCTGTCAGGGCAGCCACAGCCCTGGACCTCAGGAGGAGGTGAGCTGGAGCTCTCTGTTACAGTTGCCATTAACAGTTTGGAGATCTGGTCTCTCAGGGCACACAAAGCGTTTCTGGGTTAGTAAGAGTGAGCAGGTCAGCTCTGCTAAAATGGGTAATTAAGAAAGGAGGAGGTTTCCAATTAAGGTTAGCTCTGCTAAATGGATAATGAAGAAAGGATGAGGCTCACCATCGTCGTCTTGGTTCCGAGTCAGCAATGTATAAGCAACAAAACCAAACAAACCAAAGGAAAACAGAAAAAAAAGGAAGAAAGAAAACACAACATTAAGCTCTGCCCCCATAAACCACTTTTCCACCTACTTTTATTTTTCTGCAAGGTTGGAAGCTGGCCAGGCAGCCACCTCTGCATTTCCAGTTGCACTAGCTCTCCGAGTGGAGCTGGTCGGGCCACAGAGTGTGTCTGGTGAGCCCAACAGCCTCAAGTGACTGATGAAACCACCAATCATCTGAGACCTGCACTTACCACCCAACCAAGGGTGCAAAAGGTTTTAGGGTTACTGGTGAGTGAGCAGCTCAGGTTCATATGAGTCTGCAACCCAGGAATAAAGGGCAAGCAAGGGTTTGCTTTCATTATCTAAGTGAGCAAAGGGACAAGAAAGAGCCATTGCAAATTGATGCTAAAGAAGAGGGTTTTCTAACTGCATCAAGTTACTCCTTTCAGCTCCACCCCAAAGTGCTACAGCCCCTCGGAAGGTTCTTCACAGGAATGCATTGTATGAAGCAGCAAATATTCCAACTGACCTGGCTAATGACAGCTCAACATTGAGCAGGAAAAATCAGAGGGCTAAATTAATTGGTTTTAGTCAGTATTCAAAAAGATGGTTACATGCTGAAGGGGTTTGGCAGTGATACTGTACTGGCTTGTCCCACCCTCAGGCTCTTTTTGCATGAAAAACATTTATCTACATGGGTGGGGATGGCTCTGAGGGTTTGAAGTAGCGTGGGAGGCGGGGGTGGGGAAGGAAAAAAAAGCAGGATTGCACAAAACTCCGGGGATGCCAGCCCGGAGGAAAGGCAGGAATTGCCCACCAGGCTTTTGATCTGTGCAGAAAGAAGCCCCCGGGGGCATCTCAGGGGAAGAATGACCTTCAAAATAGAGGCGAGGATCGATACTCGGCTGCACGGGACACACCGGAATCCCTTTGTAACTCATCTTCCCTCTGCCACAAGGGGAAAAAAAACACATGCAGAGGATTCAGAATTAAAAAAACAACCTCACAGGGGGCTCCCCAAGACCCCTCGGGGCCCCTCAAGCCCCTCCGACGGGCGCCGGGAGGATGAAACCTCCCGATCGGGTCTTGGGGGGTCCCACAAGCAGAACCCACCCTTTCCCCGCCACGTACCTGGGGAGCCAAAAGCCTTCAGGTGCCGTCGGGCAGGGCGGTGGGGCTGTCCCCAGAGCTCTTGTCACCCCCGTGTCACCTTCATGCGATGCTGTGAGCCGGGATGGACAAAGGGACGTGCGTGTTGCTTTGGTCGGATTTCGTTCTTCTCTCGCGTCCCCCCGACGGAATGAGAGAGTCTGAGCCCAGTGCACAAGAAATCGAGACTTTTCCCCAAGGCGATCTGCTGACGCCTGCAGTTTATCCTGGTGGCACTTCCCCTCCCCAGCGGAGAAAGCAGAGAATGCAAAATCTGAGGTTAGAAAGGAAGTTTTTTTTTCTCGCGACTCCCCCCGGATCTCGCACCGATTTCATCACATCACACGTCCCGGTTCCCGCACGTTTCCCTCTGGGCTGCTCGGATCCAGAAAAACCTCAAGCAGCTGTTTTGAAACAGGTACCAGGCTCCGGGGCCGGATTTCCCCCTTTTCCACCCCCAAAATAACGTCGTGTCCGCCTTGGGGGGGGGTGGGGGGGAGGCAGTTCAGGATTGAAAACGCATCGCACCCAGTTCTTGACAGTGAGCATCCCTGGAGGGACATCTTCCAGTCCTCTTCCATCCTCCTGGACACCAGGAGCTTCAGGGAAGAGGAACTGGGGCTCCTGTCAGGGAGCTCATCTCTGCAGCTCCCTGGAAGGAGCTTTGTAGGGAGGTGGGTGTTGGCCCCTTCTCCCACCATGTCATAATAATGGTGTAAAGAATGATGGGAGGGGAGGAAACGGCCTGAAGTTGCACCAGGGGAGGTTTAGGCTGAATATTAGGAATAATTTGTTTGCTGAGAGAGTGATCAGGTCCTGGCACAGCCTGCCTGGGCTGCTGGTAGAGTCCCCACCCCTGGAGGTGTTTAAAAACCACTGCAGGATGTGATCTAGTGGGCAATTTCATTTTATGTTTAATTTTTGTTGGGTGGGGGGGGGTTGACATCTGGATATGGTGATCTTGGTCTTTTCCAACCGTGACAATTCTGTGAAAGAGCTGGAAATTGTGGCAAGCACTTGGAGCCAGATTAACAGGTAGATCCTGCTTGGCCAGCTGTGAATTGTTTCCCAGGTGTGTGTTAATTGCAAATCTATAAAATAGTGGCAGGCAGGGGGGGGTCCCTTCTTCCTGCAGCCCCACGAGGAGGATGTTTCTCAGGAGGTGAGTGCAGCTTTGGGGGCTTTGCGTGACAACTGTTGCTGCAACTGTGATGGAAAGTGTTGTGGGACAGCTCGGGCTTAGAAAAAAAAGGACAAAAGGGAAGTGAACTTGGAAATGAATCATTAGCCAATACCTGGTATTGTTGTTAGGGCTTGGTAGTGCTGGCTGCAACATCCATGCCTTGGTTTTCTGGTAATAATGCTCTCTACTCAGCTGTGCAGCTCAGCGGTTAAAATGAAGAGGCTCAAATCTTAGCACTGGGGAAAAAAAAAATCCCACAGCAAAACCCCATGAAACCCCCAACCAAAGCTAAAGATAAGGGAGAAAAGTCCCTGACATGTTCCCTCGTGTCCCCACGTGCCTGTTGCTGCTCTTGGAGGAAAAGCAACAAACCAAAAGGATGCTTTAATACCTGCATCTTAAAACTAAGGGGGCAGTTTGGAGGTTAAAGGCGAGTTTTTCAATCTCACCTGAAATAATAATCCTAAAAATACAAATGCTGTTCATTTTACTAACAGCCAAGGATTTGGACTTCTCTGCTCGCAGGGAGTGATCAATTCCACTGACCTGTTAAGACAAACAAAAACTGTGGTGCTGCAGAAACTTATCTTCTCTGAAGCTGGTGAAAGAAACTCATGAAATTGACCCACAAGTATTTAAAAAAAGCAGAATTCAGCAACAAAGTAAATCCTCCCGTTTCTGACAGACAAACCCACGTTTTGAGCCTGCTGGAGCTTTCAGGCAAGAGGTGTAAATCTGTATTTGCAATATTCAACCGGCCCTTTTCAAATTCCTGGCTTGTTTGGAGAGGTCCAAATTTGATTCAAGCATCTAGATTTCTACAGGCAGCAACTGTTACTTCTCCCCTTCTTGGTGCTTCCTTGGAACGGTCAGTTCTAGAAAAACAAATTTAAAATACATGTATCTTCCTAAATGTAACTGGTTTCTGGTCACCCATTTCTGCATTTTTGCCTATTTCGTAATAGTTAATTTCTGTGAAGAACCATCAAATTGCCTCCTGGTCTTTTATTTTTTAACCAAACTAAGCAGCTCCAGCCCTTGATGCTTCTACCTCTGAATACTTTTCAGCTTCAAAATAACATTAATGTCTCTTTTCTTCACTCCAATTGAATGTAACATTTCTTTTGAAAATTGGGGCACCAGAGCTTTATTCAGGAGAGTTTCCCCACTGGGGTGACTCTGTTTGCATCCCTTGTTCCTGAGGACCTAACTTTTCATTTCACTGCCCCAAAATTTTAGTGTATTAATAATTATTTATAATTCAGCCATATTTTTTTTCTCAGTTTAAATTTACCCTCAGACCACTAGTGGAATATTAAATAATACTGTAGTTGGTACCAAAATTGGTGCAAAAGCCCCACAAGCAGTTCCAGTCAGCCAACATAGCTTACTTTTTATTAACTGCTGGCACTAATATTTTTAGTTTCTTGAGAATCTCTGCAAGAAGAGAGAAGGATATTGTATATATCAAGAAGGATATTGTCTTTATTGTCAATCTTTGAGATCTTTGATTAAAAAAAAAAGGCATTTAGCACATTGAATAAAAGTGGTGTTGTTTTCTTTTCCCTTAGTCTGTGCATATTTGCATTTATAAGGACCAAGGTCTGATTTTAAAATAGCTTTTGTTCTAAGTTTTAAGCTTTAATTTCTCCTGGCATTTTAATATCTTACGGTAACTGGAACTGCTTTTACAGTAATGGCTTAAATATTTTAAGTGTTTTTTAGTCTGAGCTTTCTCCATAGATTATCACGTCTGAAAGAACTGAAAGCTGTGAAACAATCCACATGTTTAATTAATAAAATACATTTAAAATAGCCATGGTAACTCAATTAGGTAAACACTAGGAATATCTTCCTAATGCATTCTTTTATGATTCTATGATTCATATAGGTTTCTTAATGTTTAGGTAGTGTTGCTAATAACATAAACGCCAGTATTTTTAAGAATGGAATTTAGTGGGAGGCAGCATGAATGTAATTTCCACTTTGGGGAAGTATTTAGTTCTTGTTCTTCCAGTGGTTTCATTTCTTGTCCTGAGTTGTGACTTTCAGAGGCTGTTTGGATAACGTAGAGGATTGAGATCCTTTCCTCTCTCTCTAAAAGAGACATTAAAGATGCCAGAAGCCCCAAAACTCTCCTGAATTGTGTGATTTCTTCCTGTTCTAAGCAAGACCCCTCACCCTGTCGCTTGGCTCGTCAGTTTCCTGGTGGAACCAAGTATACTTTCCCTAGAGAAGACCTAAGGAAAACGCAGTCTTGGTTTTGTTTAGCAAGAAAAATAAAGTGGTGTTACTGGTTTTAATGAGGATAATCTCGTAGAGTTTACTGATAATGGCTTTGTCTTTTGGAACGGATCCCTCTGGTGCTTCGCCGGCTGCTCAGGCCATGGCTGGACGTGTCACAGGTGCCTGGAAAATGGAATTTGCTGGGGATGGTTGGGCAGGGCAGCAGCTGGGAGGGCAGCAGGAGGTGTCAGCGCCCTGGAACCCCGACATGGGGCTGGGATAAACCCTGGGGGGGGGTGATGGAGCCAGAGCAGAGCCCTGCAGGCCGGGCAGGGCGGCTAGGGAGCTGGGATCTGAGGAGGGGGGATCTGGGGAGCCAGGAG